GCTGCATGGTGGTTGGTGCTGACATGGCGACGGCAGACGCCACAGCCATGTCAGCACCAACCACCAGCCACTACATTGACAAGTGTGGTGGTCGTCAATGTAGTGGTTGGTGCTGGCGTCGATTCGTGTTAAATTACACTGAGAATTCAGTGCACATTAATTCTAGTAGTACTATCAGTCCATAGTAGTACTATATCTTTGAACTTACCGGTACTGTACAGTTACTCAGAGCCCCAAAACTCAATTAACCATGTGTGTGACTGACCATACGTGCTAAAAGAGCCACATAATGGGTTGATCTATAGGTCCACCCATCAAACACGAGTGCGAGCTTGTCGGGGAGGGTGAGGGTCAGCTTGCGCTTGATGCGCTCAATAAGGCCGTGCATGTACTTCATCAATGTAGCACGGCAGATGGGGTCTCAATTCGACGGACGAGTGGGTTGGCCACAAATGAAAAGGACAACAGGGACATTGAGATCAAGTTCAACCACCCGTACACTGTGTGGACAAGATGTGGGACCATGATGTCGAAGAGTACGGCAGGAGTGGGGGCTGGAGGCGTCAAATGTGACATAATCAGGATGGTCAGTAGTTATGTGCGAGCACAAGTCAGTGTAACCGCTCCCTTTCTGGGTACGCTTTACACCACAGCGACAGGCCCACACATTGCTACCAGGAGCAGTACGGGTGAAACACAGCTCAGCGAGCTGGCGACCACGGAGGATGTTGGTGTTGGCTGGGTTCATCACAAATGAGAATGTGCACAGCCTTGCTTGTATTGAATAGTTTTTAAGGGCATCATGAATTATTCCTCTCGTTTCCAATATTTATTCGTTTTGGGGGTTAATGAAAATTATCTATTCTTTCCATCGACGAAAATGAATTATTTATTCTTTGTCCCACAGAAAATAGATTATATACTTATTCCAGCTAATTAAATATATTCATTTGGAAAATTATTTTATGGTCACCTCTGATGTGGAGTCCATTGGCAACTTCGGGAAGGATTCAATTTGGCTCGTTCCTGGTCATATTGGTACACTGATCTTCGGCGTTTCGCATGAATCCACAGATCAACACATTCAAATCTTCGAATGTGTGTTGCGTTGCTTTAGGGACAAATATGACTACCAATTTGGGTAAGCCTACACGATGGTATTGTGTTAACATGGTGTAGGTTGATGGTAAATGGAAAGCTGACCGGCAGCAACAAGAGCGGGAGACTATCAAGCCTTCGTTGCTCTCAGCGACAGGAATGACAGCAGCAGTCGCAAGCAAAACACCACTCCCAGTCTATAGCATCAACCCAGAGAAGCGCCGACATCGTGGTGGCGTAAGTGCATTCGACTGTGGAGATAGTATATTTCGTACTAGTTTTCTTCGTGTCGATAGTTTAACTGGGTCTAACGAAGTGTATTACTATGTAAGGTAACGCATCGAAATCGCGAACAGCAATAAAATAAACATAAATTGTGCATATTTTTATTCCTCAATACAAAAATTAAGATACACGTGCTTTTCGCGATTTAGAAAATCACAACCCGTCATTCCGATTTTTATGACTGATCGCAATAGTCCATTACAAACAACACATTCAGTTGTTTTATGATCTAATAGAAACTATAAAATAGTGCTCGAATTACATTTTCCTACCATGCCTTTAGTTTTGCAAAATTCCACGGATTTCCAGAGATATGTTGCATCAAAAATTAGACTTGGCATGACGCAAAAAGTGTTCGCGATTTCGATGCGTTACCTTAGTAGTTATTTTAGTATAAGCAGTGTCAACTAGTTTGACGAATTTGCTTGTTTTTACTAGGCTGCTGTCTGTGTCTTCAACGACTAAAGGTGTGTTCATGCGCCTATTTCACGAAATACATCACCGCGGTGTGGAGTCTCAATCCCAAGATGTCCCCCTGTCTCTCGCCCAGTACCTACAAGAACGGGCAACATCACTCACACCTTCGTCAATCCGGAACAGCATGCTGCGCGACGAGTCCATCATAATTCAGCTATACCATGAATGCATCAAATACGATATCAAATGCGCAAGGTATGTAAAATGTCGATCATTAATCCTTCTACTAGCATGTATAGTGTGTCCTCAGCAAGTGCAACATGGATCCCGATTCCTACAAGTCGGCGTCGCTCTACTTGCGTGGACACAAGCATAGTGTAGCTAGGCAGGTCAGAACTAGAAGGGCTGTTTTCACTGTAAATTCATTGCAGGTACAGTGCCGCGTTTCCGTGCGTTCAAGACATGCAAGGTCAAAGTTATCCAAAGTTCGCAAGTCCATCACTTCTTGATACGCTCTTGGAGATGCTGAATCGGCACTACAAAAATCATGCACTTATATCGCCACAGGCGACAGAGGTACTTGTATTGCTCCTCGACCTAGTCGCCCCTCGTTGAATTCGCATTGCTAGTTGACCTAATTGCTCCTCCTTGATTTCGTTGCGTTGGCAAATATAGGGCGACACACTCCTTGATTTCGTTGCGTTGGCAAATATAGGGCGACACAACCGAATGCATGTACAAGGCGGCTTTGTGTGAAATCTACCAGTTATGCCTTACGTCGAAGGAGCCTTTCCTCTCCGTGTACTTGTTCAACAACTGGGACAACTGGACCGACTACCAACTTTGGGCAATACCTTCATCCTAAGGCAATTGCCTGCCATCGAACAAGCATGCTTACTGAGGGCCATTTTTCGTAATTATGAAAAATCGATTTCTCAAAGTAAGATAATAATGCCTTTCGCATTGTAAAATTTATAGTAGGAGTTCTCAAGGCCTCGGCTTGACATTTTGTGCTATATCGTGTTCGTCAACGTCCAGGAATGGTTCGTTAATAAAATTCGCCGTGCTTCAGATGCCAAGAAAAGTTACGGTACGAATATACCGTCAAATGTCCTAACGTTACGACTAGGTGCTTTAGAACAACTAGTTCACCCAGTCAACCTAGGGAACCTAGGCTTACTAGTGGTGCAATGTAGGTTCATCTGCATGGGAGGGACGTATTAACGCGTAGTGGAAACATTGCGCCATGAAAGTTGCGAATGCAGAGTACTCAACACCCATTACGTTACAAATCTCAACAGTTGGCGTTGCAGTGTCCTCAGTTCCGAACTCGGAGCTCCTTGTGTGTAAGCACCTCATCCGCATGTTTAACATTGAGCATTCGATCAATACAGTAAGTTAATTGTAGTTGCTGAGAATATGTGTGTACTGTGTACATTAGCTGCACGCACCCAAGCTCAAAGTGCGAATGTACACCCCGCCGTTCTGGGTGTTTCCTACGCCGAAGTTGGAGTATCACGAAATCGAAGCCACGAAAGCTGCCGACGGGCAACTCGGTCAAATATTCCAAAAATAGGTAAAATAATTAAATTAAATAATGAGTCTTAACTTTTTTTTTAAGTTTATTGACTTGGACTACAAATCCTTTAATGACGGTTCAAGTCCAAAGGTACACCTCAAACGCAGCAAAGACGCAGCTGCACGAATTGCCGAATGCGCCAGCTGGATCATTATGCATGATCGAGACATCGAGTGGAACCCCAAGCAGCTTGACCGCATGACGAAGTTGTTGGCGCCAGTAGAACATATCGAAGAGACATCATTCGAATCGTCAACAAATGAAAGCGCGCGTTGACGAACACAGAGAGCAATGCAAATACGATGCTCTATGCCCCAAGCATAAAAAAATACATGTATTCCATGTTTTAGCCTATTGTACAAATTCTAGGGACATGTACCTAATCGTAGGCGCAAACATAGGTTAGGTGACTTTTGACTAGTTCTACTAGCACCAGTAGGTCAAAGTAGTCGCGGAAAACGAAGTTAGGTTGAACGAGGTAAACTTAAACACTAATTTTAACAAGTGCTGAAAAAACGAGTTCAACAGAAGTGCTAAGTTTATATAGTTAACGAGTTCCGAAAAGCGGTTGAAGTATTAACTAGAATAACCTTGGCTGGAACTAGTTAACTTAATTGCGACGAGGACGTTAGCGGGAAAGCTTCTTCGACGCTGCAGTCGGGCCGAAGGAGGGGATGGTCGCGCTGTGTCGGCCGTTTCGGCTTCCCCAATTCCTTGTTGCTCAGTGTTGCCGTCATCACTGTCTTGGACACGCCCTTTCACAATCGTTCGTAATTCGCCATTGAATTTTTCGCACAAGTACGCCAGCATGGACAAAACCGCGTCGCCGTCGGAAACCCCAGTTTCGGTTAAGACGTCATATTTGTTAGAACCAGCATAGATCATGACAAACTCAGGATGTCCTGGAGAAATATCACCTCTGTGCACACTGACAAAGTCAATACGCTGCTCCTCAGTGAGCAAGTTCCAGTCCGAGGCTACAACCTCGCCAATACTACGATGACGGTTCCAGTGCGTTTAAGATGCTGTTATGTTGGACGTAGCACATCGGAGCGGGGCAGAGTGAAAAGGGGCATTTAAAGCGGCACAGTCACTCCAGGTGCTTCGGCAGTTCTGGGATGGTGGGGTACTTCGATCGCCGAGCGCCAACCATTGCAAACTGGTTGGTTTCGCTTGGTGTAGGAAAGTTCATAAAAGCATGCTCATTATACTTGATTAATATGCCTTTTGTCTGGTACGGTTTCAACATGAAATATTTTGATCATTTTATTCCATTGTTAAGTATGTTCCGTAGCATCAAAGGTCCGACCGTCGAATGGTTGAAAGAGTCCACTTTAGAAATTTCCTCGGAGCGGGATGACTGAGCACCCCAGAGGATGTGCTGGCCCTGCCACTTGATGGAGCGATTAGCATCTCCGTCTTGTATTCATCGCGGCACAGTCGTTGGGCTAAGGGGGCGGTACGTTCGCTGGGGTGTTCGGACGTCCTGTGATGACACTTCTGTGTTGACATGGTGGGGCAACATGGGACTGCCCTCGGGGAGGTCCGCCATGGACGCATCAGCGTCCATTAACACCGAAGGTACGTATATACATATGTGCGTGCATCTTAAATGACGTAGTTATGAACTATATTGATTAATTTATCGTTCAAACCGTTTACACGTTGCATCCTCGACAACACTATGATCCCCACCGCCATCTGAGCGTCTTTGACATTGTCATTCGATCTTATCCGTTCTTTGCAAACGTTCGTACAGATTCACCCTCCCCTCACACAGTCGTTCTCATGCATACATACGTGTGCAGGTTGGATATATGCGCTTTCAACCTACGAAAGCTAGCATTTCCTTGACTGACCTCGGCGGTGACTTCACGCCCGGCTACTTTCGCCTTATCAGCCCGTTGACACTGGCCCTTGTCTACGTACGTAGTACCATGTGCACCCTGCACGTTCTTTCCAGTTGTCAGGTCTTGTAGAATCTGAAAGTCATCGATGCGTGGCTCCACGTGTGGTAGGTAACAGCTAACATACACACATATATATGGCTTTTATTAAGGCCACCATGTAGCACTAGGCGCAACTCTCCAGCAGCAGCATGAGACCCATCCAAGCCGCACCCACGTCGTCGATGTCGCGCACGACTCGCTGAAGCATGCCCAAGCGAGGCTATCGACGAACGTGTACAGTACATGTATGTATACACGTCGATATATTCGTGTACTCACGACGATACATATATATTCGATTACACTGACATTACGTTTGTCTCGATGTCTCCAATATCGTGTGTGTGGTGGCGCAGGGTCTAACGTCAAGCCGGACGCACGAAGTTCGCGGTAATGCATGACTTTGCATTGAGCACACCAGATCGATGTAACCTCTGTAGTTCCTTCAACACCGCGTTCGATCCACTTGACCGTACATCGTGATCACGTAGGAAGCCCAAGAGAACAGCTTCCGTGCTGGTAGCGCGATGACACCATCTTGGCAGGTTTGACGCGCTTCATCCAAGATAAATCCATTCGGTAAGAAAAGCTTCATGTATGCGACCAGATGTCACGCAACATATTTTTTCTATTTTGGTGCGTTGCTAGTAGCATTTAGACGATGTTCAAGCCCATACCATTCGAAACACGTTGTTCGTAGCGACCTCAACGAGCATTAACGGTGTTTCTTCGTGGTGGGGATCGTGTCGTTGATTTTGTGGCTCACGGATTCTCGTTTCTTGTAGTCGCCGAGACCTTCCAACTTTGCCTGGGCTTGGAGCGGTTCGTCTTGACGCTGTCCCGCCTGAATAAATCTTTCGATGAGGGCTGCCTCGTGACGAATGAGGCCTTATTCGGTGGTCTCAGACGTCGATGTCGGGTGTTGTTGCAGCTTCTCGGGCGATTTGTTGGATCGTTGGTGCTGTCGTCAAGTGCGAAGGCCGCGCCAGGAGGTCGATTTCGCACCAACCCGCAAGCCGCGTGCACGCTTCCAGACGAAGTACAGCAGTTCCAAGCACATTGAGCTCCTTTAAACGGGGGGTAGTGGAGAAACAGGTAAGCTGTCAGTGTGTCCACCACACGTCTGTTGAGGTTGAGTATAGGTTAATCGAGGCTAGAACATGCCGTGAAAAGGTGGGTTTGGACGTATCAAATACGATATTAACTTTGGGCGACGAAAATATCCAGGGAAAGAAGTGGGACAGCTTCGGATGTCGTCCAACCGCTAAGGTGCTTGGCGACCTTGTGATCTTCACTTGACGTGTTGAATATGTAGTTGAAGCCCTTGTTTGTGGCCGAAATATTTCATGCCACACGATCGAAGATCTACCTCGATGTCAAGTGCTCCGAGCCATTAGCCTGATGTGCCCCCCCCGCGCGACGAAAGGAATGTAGCGACAGCTTCTGCTCAACACCAGAGAGTCCACCAATAGGTCCAAGAATTCGATTGACGTGGCTGTAAATAGTAGGTGAGCTCTTGGTCGTTGACTCTTCCTTGTCGAACTCAATAACGCCAGGATTCTTTTGAACCTAGATCAATGCCGTTGTTCAGCCGAGGCTCAAAGCTGAGGATGCAGACTGAGTTGGTAAGTTGTCGATGGCGTTTGCACATGGCCCGCCTTGACAATTGGTTGTCAACGCCATAGCTAGCAACGGACACTTAAGGAAGTCATTATCTGGGAATATGGACAGTCCCTATTCCTCGCTCGTCTTGACCCATATGAAGCGTAGAAATAACACATCACCAGCATCAATTGACACGTTTTTCTTCCGCACCATTGCCAAGGTGGATGCCCGTCCAAGCAGATACCAGAACAAGGCTAACAAAGATGCGTCTTGATAGCCGCTACATGAGGTCATTCACTTAAAGATATGCATAAGCATACGCTTTAAGTAATCCTTGGTGCGCCCAGTTGCTTGGTTCTCTACCGCTCCGCCATCTTTCTTGGCGCAAAAGTTCTGTAGTATCTCGCCTACTCGGAGTAGCTTGGAGTCGACAACAGGCTATAGGTGGGGTAAATCGTCAAGTAGGCTGATATTCGCTTGTCGGAAGTACAGGATGCATGAGTGCTTTGATAGCGGCACCCTGGGTGACTTTTCACATGCAGCAAGGTACATAGCAAACTTCTCCATGACCGAGGCAAAACAATGGCCTGTTGTATCCTTTCGGATTCAATCCTTCGCATGGTTCTATTGAACTCTCTCGGGCTCAATGCACTTGAGGAAGGACTTGATACCCGAAGCTCTGGCATTCACCGTTGACCGTGGTCGCAGGCGGGTGTGAATCGGGGTTGCTATATTATTGACCAATTGTGGGCTCAGTCGGAGATTGTCTGATTATGTAACAATTATGGGTTGACCTTTATTTTTGTATGCTTATATAGCATAACTTTTGAAAGGTCCGACCACTAACGCATACCATACCATATGATGGGTTACCCTTCACTTTTGTATGCTCACATTGCATAACTAACAGTAAATTCGATCCGGAAAAATAGCATGCGAATCGTTCGAAAATAATACTGTATTTCCCTCATCTCCGTACAAACCACGCGGAGCCATCGGATTGGCTAATAATGTATACTTTCGTAGTTCCTACGAATGTATACTGTACATGTGATGGTGCACGGGATTCTACTACACTGTACCGTATGCAAAAGATGGATGTTGTTCCCACTGCGCATCTGATTGATCAATCCGATGCGTAGAGGATGGACGCGTGGTGGTATGAGATTTCATACCACCACGCGTCCATCCTCTACTCTCTATTTGAAGTGCCAACAGATACAGAACAAGAGGTCTACTAGACCTCTTGTTCAGTGATCCCCAAAATGGACCCATATGAGGGATTCTGTTACTAACTGTAAGTCCGGGGTTTTCCTCAACTCACATGTCAACAAAGATTCAGGGGTTATTTTAAAGATACTAACGTTACGTAGTAAATGAAAACTAGTACTCGTATCCGAAATCTCCGTATTTTCTTCAAGCTCGCACAAACCTCACTTGCCCTCCCTGGAAATAGAAAAAATAGAAAACTCGAAATGGATTATAGCCAATCCAAGCCAAGTAATTTAAGATTGACCAATGCGAGATTCGAAATCTCCAATCCTGTGTGAGGCAAACATACGCAGTTTCATTGGCCAAAATTGAAACATTCACCAAAACGAGTCAATATCCACCAATGCTGTTGTATTAGATTTACATTAACCAGAAAAAGCAAGGTGAAATAGGCAATTTTGAATGCTGCGCAAGGCGAACCACCTTGCGAATTCCATAAATAATTCTGAACTTGTATAGTTTCAATTAAATATATCTTCAAGTTTGAATTGATAATTTTTATTTTTCATGTGTCTGTCTCTTTTTAGAATTCGCAAGGCAGGTAGGTAGGTGACCTTGCGAATTCAAAATTGTCCAATTTTGTCCAATCAGATGCGGTGAAATCACGAAAATCGTATATCATCACGCACGCCCTGTTGCGATATATTCTACTCCTGTGATGGCGGTTGATGCAAGGAGCCTTGAGATAATTGTGTAGGCTGTGTATGAGAGCAAGATCATGTGATGTGGTATTCAGGACTCGGTCAATTTTAACAGGTCTCATTTCACCACTTGCCTACTAACCCAATGAAATTGGTCATCCCACATTCCACCATCCAGCCTGTGTCGGTTCCGTATACCTCCCTGCCGGTGTAATCACGTGGTGGCGCGGGCGGTGGCGCAAGACGTCTTGGTGGTACCTATCGCAAGTGCTGAAGTGGCGGCTTTAGCACTTTGGGTTTGCGATGGGTGCTACAAAGACCACATTCGCCACCGCGTTTTGCCCACCAGAGCCACCACGACAATCCGACCCAACCGAGCGCACAACATAATGTTAGCTATAAGGGGAGAACCATATTGGACATAGTCAGAGTGCACAATTCTCTGGAGCAGCATCACACAAAGCTCCACAAAATTCAAAGTTCAAAATTGTAACCTCTTCTGTCAGTATTATAGTCAATCGTGTGTAAGAAACAAGGTGTGATAGATTTTTCTGATTGGACATTAAAAAGGAGCAAGGTGGCTCACCTTGCGAATTCCATGAACAAGTCAATTATATTATGATTTTTAAACAGTGACGGTGCGAAATGTCGGCGCTTGGAGCAGTTTGCTAGTGAAATACAGTATCATGCGATACAAAATCAGCAGAATATTCCACCAATCCATGATAGAACAAGAAGACATGCACCTCGGGGGGATGGGCGATGTTAAAAACAACTTCCAGTTGCGGAGCCAGGATGAATTTTGTGGCGTTTGAAGGCGGCGGAGGGATTGGTTGGTCGTGAGTTGCTGAGCAATGAGTCGACAGTGGAACGCTGCAAACCCAACCAAGAACGCCGACACGGTCATCGAAAAGTAGATCAGGGGCGGCACGACCACAAATTGCTGGAAAACTACACGGTTCCGTCAATAGTTGGTCTGAAACGACTGGAGCAACGCACACTTGTGAAACGACACGTGGTGCACAACGCACTGGTCGATTGTAAACCACACCAGCATCACACAACTGAATACTGCCGCGGCTATGCACGCCAGTAAGAACCCCATAAACGCGCGGTAGTTGCGACGCCCGACGCAGTTGCCCGTCCTAAGCAAAATATAGAATGCAAAGGTTTCAATAGTATTGTCAAATAGTCGATTATATCTTAGGAGAATAATCGATTAAAGAATCGCCTGGGCCAATCAAATCACGTCATGTCGAATTTCTACCAATCCAAACGTTTGACACCTCCGCATTGGGCAAAACCACATATATATTAATCGTTGTATAGTATAGTGTGTACAAGATTAAATAGGATCAAATGGTACAGTATTGTCGATTCGAAATTGGAGTATTTGGGTGCTCAATCAAGAACCAAATCGACAGACACTCGAAAATCGACCAATCAAAATCCAAAACACTCACCAAGTACCCGATCAAATAACCAGATTTCGACCAATGCAAAAACATCGAAAATTAGTGAATCAAATTCAGTTTTACATGCAAAGAATCGATCGATTTGACGAATCAGCACACAAAAAGTCCAAATTTGGCTTGGTAAAAGGGCAATAGTAAGTAGTACTAGTTCCGCCCTTGAATGTGTGTGTACTACTACCATGGACAGCTAGGACACGACGAGTTAGTAGGTCAGGCAGATGGGTAGATGGGACGTACTGGTGGTCAAAGCCGTCAACACAGCAGTTGCATGTACTGCAGTGACTTCGACGAGGAGGTTTGTGGACCTGAAGTTGGACGTGAACATGATGAAGGCGGAGGCACGAAGGGACGTACAAGACAAACGGTGCAGAATCGATCGGGGGCGATGTCTGTGTCGACGAGTTGGTCGTATCTCTGGGGAACCAATCCTGATCATGGAAGAACAAGTGAGATGGGGGGGTCGGTAGGTAAGGTGATCGATGGACACCTACCTGGGTCGCGGAAGGCTGTAAAGCAAAACCAGACAAGGATGTTGATGTAGAGAACGGTCATACACGTGATGAGGGTAGGAGAGAGATTTGCAATGAACCTGCATGGGGAATAATGACAACGAGAGAGAGAGAGTGGGACGGTGGGCTTACACAAAGTAGTCAAAGCCGGCAACAAGGGCCGTGATGAATGTCCAAGTCGCCAACGAACACTTCCACTGTCGTTGGTGCACCACAATACGCCCGTTCATGAAGAACCAATGACTCCCATGCCATGTCTTGTAATAGGGCATGGGACCTTCCAGTTCACCGCGGGGAGACAGAAGCGTCTTGCCGTCCTCTACACTAGCGTCGACATCTCCGTCTTCAGCCAACTCCAGCTGCTTCATCTTGTGTCTGCCGATCAAAATAGTCTGATCAAACATTTACCATGGATCAGCCAATCAAAGTGTCTCAAATGGGTTCATTTTTGAGAATTATAACTCATATATAATTTGTTATAATTCTGCCAGAAGAGTGTTATATTTATTTCAACTCACTGTCAGTTCCAATTTTGGGTTTTGACTTGGCATGGGCAACTTGTTTGGGAAGAAGACAGAAGCCGCGCCGACCGGACCGACGGCGCGGCAAACTGCCAACCGTCAACGTGCGCAGAACCAAGTGTCGTCGAAGGACAAAGCCGTGCTGGAGCTCAAAGCTTCGCGAGACCGCCTTAAGAAGTACCAGTCCCACCTCGAGCACGAGAGTGCGCAATTGACAGAGAAAGCGAAGCAGTTGCTGGAGAAGAAGCAGCGCGACCGGGCCAAACTGTGTCTGCAACTGCGCAAATTCAAGCAGCAGCAGATCGAGCAGGCCGACACCCACCTCATGAATGTGCTTCAAATGGTCGACAGCGTTGAATGGGAGACCCAGCAACTACAGGTGCATCCAACCCAACCTCCATCGCGATCCACAACTTTCTAAACAACTTGTGTTAGATATTTGAAGGTCTCAAGGCTGGAAACTCTGTGCTGGATGCAATCCATAAGGAAATGACTGTGGAGGCCGTCGAAGACCTCATGCTGGACACCCAGGAAGCGCAAGCCAGGGCCGACGTACGTACATACATCTACGAGTCGTCGTTCATTCCTTGATGTGGCCTTGTAGGAGATTGGTCGACTGATCGGCGGCTCATTGACCGTTGACGACGACGAGTCCATCTTGGAGGAACTCGCGGCCATCGAGGCCTTGGAAGCTGAAGCGCTGGACGCCCTTCTCCCCGTGGCGCCTGGTACTATGTGTGGTCTGTATTGTTCTTCTAACAAGAGTCGTAGCGCACGATGCGGTGATGGCCGAGCCTGCTGAAGTGGTGACCCCAGGTACGACGACGACGGATAAGTGTTGTTGCATCGAGGGTTTATACAACGTCTAGAGCAAGTGCAAGTGGCCGTGCCGCCGAAACCAGCTGCCAGCGCGAAGAAAACCAAAGCCACCCCCCCTGTGTTGGCGTAATTTCACTAACGTTACGTAGTACTTGCTCAATGTGTCAAATTCCAACCCATCGCCTCTTGCCCCCGTTTGAAGAACATCATGTAAAGTAGTAGTACTAGTAGTAGTTACAATACCAATCCTCGGAGCCAACAACTTACAGCTAGCTGTACAAAATTGGTGGAAAGTAGTGTGCCAACTGCTATTATTAACAAACTTGTCACGAGTGAGCTGCCTGACTACTATTATAATAGTATTATTAGAGAATTTCTTTCAATTAGAGAACTTCTGCAAACGTTGAATTATGTGCCAAACAATACTAGTAGTAGATACGAAGAAAAGTTTTTATTAATGAATTACGCATCATGCAGTCAAAATTGCCCATTTTGTGGCATTATGGGGCCTGGGTGGGGTAGCCAGGGGCCGCCGTGGTGGTGCAAGGAGCAGCCGTGGTGGTGCAAGGAGCAGCCGTGGTGGTGCAAGGAGCAGCCGTGGTGGTGCAAGGAGCAGCCGTGGTGGTGCAAGGAGTGTTAGTGGGCTTGTGGGTAGGACGGACGGTGGTCGCACGAGTAGTCGTGGGGGTGGCCGGCATCTTGGTCGTAGTGACAGGCACTTTGGTGGTGGTGGCCACTGGAGTATACGTGGTGGTCACTGGGGAAGAGGTGAGGGTCACTGGGGAAGAGGTGGTGGTCACTGGGATCGTGGTGGTGTATCCAGGGGTAGCCGTGGTGGTCACTGGAGTGGCCGTGGTGGTCTCAGGAGTGGCTGTGGTGGTCACTGGAGTGGACGTGGTGGTCACTGGAGTGGACGTGGAGGTCACAGGAGTGGCCGTGGTGGTCTCTGGAGTGGCCGTGGTGGTCACTGGAGTAGAGGTGATGGACACTGGAGTGGAGGTGATGGTCACTGGGTTCGTGGTGGAGTCGCCAGGAGTGGCTGTGGTGGAAGAAGACGTTGTCGTGGTAGCACCAGGAACAGTGTTAGCCGGGGTAGGAGTGGGGTAGCCAGGGGTAGCCGTGATCGTGATGACAGGGGCCTTGGTGGTATCAGCAGGGGTACCAGTATAAGGAGCTGGGGTAGTTGTGCATCCGACACCGCCCCAGTCGCATTCCCAAGCGCCCGATGGGATCTTGACACACGAGGCATCCACAGGTGCGACGCATAGATGGTGATTGTCGGCGTAGGACTTGAAATGCTTGTGGCAGTAGTTCACTGCGACATCGCCCTTCTTGGGGCAGTTGATACCACTGGGTAGGCTGCCAGACCCACTGCAGATAGGGCCAACAATGCAATACGTGGCATCGCCAACGACAGACACGTTAGTGCACTTGTCAGCAGGAGGGTTGGTGGGTACAGGGCCTTCGTTCTTGGGGATTTTGCAAGAGGGCGAAGTGGTGCCAGGAGCAGACGAGATGGTGCTAGGGGTAGCTGTGTTGGAAGCCCCAGGAGCCGCGGAGGTGGTGAAGTCGCCAGGTGTAGTAGCACCAGGAAAAGTGTTAGCCGGAGTAGGAATGGGGTAGCCAGGGGTGGTCGTCGTTGAAGCATCAGGAGCCGCAGTGTTGGTGGAGTCACCAGGAGTGGCTGTGGTGGAAGGAGCCATTGTCACGGTAGCACCAGGAACAGAGTTAGCCGGGGTAGGAGTTGGGTAGCCAGGGGTAGCCGTAGTGGAATCCCCAGGACCCGA